ATTTTATAGGCCATCAATTTGCATTTTTTTCATTCATATGAAGGGGTTTTCTTTAAACCAATTTTCAGCCATATTAGTTTCTTGCTCTCTTTTGTTGAGAACCTATTCCCATTCCACTACGAATACAAATAATTTCAGTTTATTTTGGTTTGAAGTCTTATTATATGTCACATACAGAATAGAATTTCATGTCAGTAGCACCTAAAGGAATGTGTTTGCTAAAAAAAAAAATAGTGTCATATTCTTCTCCACCCAGTACTCTATTTCAGTATGAATTTTGCCATTTCAAAGCCAAAGAAGATTGAAAAATTACCTTTTTAACAAGCTCCTTTGCATCTCGAGGGATGTCTGCCACAGCGGAGAGGATTAATGCAATCACCTCCAGTCCAAAGGAAATGTAGAAAAGAGAGAAACGAGGAATATCTCTGACCTCTCCCTGGGTGTGAAGAGATTAAGTGTGAGAAAAATGCTCTGTTTAATAATGTGTCATTTAAACACAGAGAAAGTTTTCTGATCTATTGTGTAGACTTTCATACCAGCCTAAGAGCTTCCCGTAGGAGGGTCTGGAAAGTGAAAATGTCACACAGAACAAGGAGAAGCCAGAAAATGAAAAGAGAAGCAGAATCTACTGCTCTTTCCTTTCTCCTCAATCCTTCCTGACACAACAGTAGAAGGATCTTAAAAGGTAAAACATAAAAAAAACACAAAAACAATTAATAATATTCACATCTTGGACATTGAAGAAAATATTTGAATATACAATTTAAACTTTACCCATGTGACAGCAAATAGGACCGGGTTTGTGTAGTATACAGCTGGACTTTTCTCTCCTGAACTGTTTGGACCAAAATCCTCTACTAACGTGACAGTCAGGCCTCCAATGGCCGTTAGGAACAACAAAATCACCACAAGCTGAAAAGAGGAGGGAAAAGTTCAGACTGATTGTTAAAATGCTTCCACCTAAGCATCACTTATTAAAATAATATGATTGTTTTAATTATGCAATACCTGTTTGCAGAAGTAGAGCTTAGTCCAATTTTTTTTATTTACTTGTGATCTTCTGCATAGAGGCATGAGGTTCCATGGAGCACAGAGCCACATGAACCCCAGAGGGATCCAGACCAGAATTGTCTGTTCCACACAGATTGGCAGATCTGGGTCATCTCTGCCCAAATAGGATGCATTCTGGGGTTCAAACACAACCATATATGCATGCATCAAAATCATTTCACAACATTTTAAAGAATTACATTCAGCTTTATTGGCCAAGTTGGGGCAGGCAAACAAGGGATATGACTTCAGGTCCACTTTGCTACAAATATGCATAATATTATATTAATATACAGTTTAGAAAGGAATAAACAATGTTTTTTGTTTGTTTGTTCTTTTAAATATGTATACACACAAGGCAACAATAATCTGTGTTGAAACGTGTCGTTTTGACCAATGAGGTGAAAAATTGGCTTTTAAAAAATAAGTTAAATTATCTTAGGATACACAGTTTTTGAAACATTGGCAACATTTTTTAAAGTTATTTAAATATTACATAAAAGAGTAGTTATTTCCATCTTTATGATATTAAGCTTATATATATATATAATATATATATATATATATATATATATATATATATATATATATATATATATATATATATATATATATATATATATATATATATATATATATATATATATATATATAAAAACACAATAATACATTGTAATAAGCATTTATTATATTATTTGTTTCCTGTACAAACTGAATTTACAACTAGCCAGAAAAATTTGAAACTTAATGAATGAGAATGTCAGAGCGTTTTCTGATCATTATGATGATTCTGGCTGACATCTACAGAAGAAAAAAATGGAATATTACATCAGACTGATTAAAAAAGTATGTTTAGTACAAAACATCTAAACTATAGCCATATTAAAGCCACAGTCATCATGATCATCATCTACAAGGACCAAGGATGGTTAGGCACACAAGGTCATTGCAGAAGAAGTTGTCATGTATCCAATCATTTTCATGAAAGGTTGGATGGAATGAAGAAGTATGACAGAAAAGCATGACCAAACACCAAAGGTATACACTGCTTTTAAAGGACTATGGCGTAAAGCCTACTGAAACGTTTAGAGGCAATTGATAATTTGTAGTTTAACAACTTTTCATCTCTTCATGCTCTTTCCTCAGCTCCAGCTTGCGAGGTCCTGTGTCCTACAGCTTTTAGATGTGTCTCTACTTCCACACCTGAAACAAATAGCTGAATCACTTCCTCACCATCCAGTCAAGTTCACCGGAGTCCTGATTATTTCACTCAGGTGTGATGAAGCAAAGACACATATAAAAGATGCAGGACATTGGCTCCTGAGAAGCACAATTGAGGAACCGTGCACTTTGCACAGACAGGGGTAGTAGATGTGTTAAGAACATAAATGTTGAAAGTGCACAAACATTTGTGATAGAATATCCTTTAATCAACATTTAATAGTAAATTTTGCCTCAATATTGCTATCTGTTGGGTCAAATCTGGGATAATAACCTAAAAAGAATGCTAACAGTGTAACAAAGCAATACCACACTAGGATTATTGAAATAATTCCATATATCACTCTTTCAAGTTTGATTTACTTGAATCTTGCACTAGACTTATCTTTATATGAGCAAAAAAAAGATAGTTTCCTCAAAAACATAGGAGGGTATTGGAGATATAAAACTCTATAAAGCTAAACCAGGGGTCACCAACATGGTGCCTCCAGGTCCGAGGACGGCATTAAACACCCTTGAACCTTATATTTAAGTAGCTGAACTTAACAGTGAGCTGCTTTAAAAGTTTAGTTTATTGAGTTGCTGTTCTTTTTCAATAAAATTTGCATTTATAGAGATTTACAAATAAAACACAAAGTTAAGGTGATCACTGACTCTTCCAGTTCATAGGTCGATGTCGGTAGCATGACTCGTTACCCATGAAGTAGATCTGCAGATTCAGAAGGTTGGTGACTCCTGGGCTCAACAGTACGGTATTTTAAAAAGTATCTTCTAAAATGGATTTTGAAATCAAGAAGGTAATTTACGTAAATACAAGTGTTATTTTTAACAGATTTTTGTTAACCTGCTAATTTTATCTAAGTTTAATATTCATATGCTATGCTTTGTAAGAGCATACAAAACATAGCCACAATTAACTCATCTTTTCTTTTAAACCAATGGGATAACACTTACCGTATAAAAAAAGAAAATGAAAATGAAAATTTCATTGATACCAACTAAAGAATCAGAAAACTCCAAAAGATGAAACCTTCATCTTTGTCTTCCTCATCTCTTTTGTTCTTAAGGAGAGAAAATCCTTCACTAACACAATAAAATATAAAAATGCACAAAATATCTAACACACATGCAATATTTTTACTTCTACTGCTAGTTTTACAACATTTTGTGTTGAAATTAGAATTTCAACACCATGCAAAGAGCTAACAACACTGACCTATGAACTGGAAGACTCACTAATTATCTTAACGTCATGTATAATAAACATAGTTTCATGTTTCCTTTCGAAATTGTGCTTTTTAAATCTTTATATATATATAAGTGTGATTAAAAAAGAATAGAATAAAATGAAATGTTAAACCAGCTCACTGTTAACTTTATTTACTAATTTAATACAGTGTAAAAGCCTGGGGGAAAACTCTCTGTGGAGGCTGGTTTGTGTAAATGCACAAATTTCAATCAGACAGTTTGTGTCCAGATTGTGTGGAGTCTGCAGAGATGTTAGAATATATTTTCCTGACCCTAGACCTGATCAAGTCCTGGATAGTGAAAAGTTGCCCCTAATGCTCCTCTCTTAATGTGAATGGCAGGTGCCATAATGACTCAGCTCTGTGTACGAAAAATCATGTTGGGGAAGATTTGCTAAATTAAAAATGTTTCGTTGGAAGTAGAATTTATTTATGCCTTTACTTTACTTTGCAAAATACTTACAAGACAGATTTTAAAGTTTAAAAGAAATATGTATCAGTTTCAACATTTCATCACTTTCTTTGTTTAAATAAGTGTGGTTAAGCTTTTTATAGCTAATGTGTTTATCACACATGCTTTGCTTTCAGTATAATTTTGAATGGAAAATATCTATGTCAAAGCCTGGAATACAGGATAAACAGGCAACTTTTACTATAAATCAGATTAGTTTGAGTTAGCATGTGAACAGCTTCTTAATAAAGAGACGTTAAAATCTATCCGTTTTCAAACGTTCTTCATACTTTTGACTGGTCATCTTAGTTAATGAGTTCATCTGGGACTTGCAGGTTAGGATAGTTCATCAGGTACGTATGTTTACACTGACACAGAATGTAAAAAAAAAAATGCATGTGAAACAGAAAGTAAGAATAGGAAATATTTGTTTGAATTCTGTGAAAGAAAATGAACAAGTCTGTGACTTTTTCATGTCCACAATTAAACCTAACCCATATAAACAGTTCAAAGCTTTTGGGTTAAAAACAAAGGTTCTCCTGTACATTTAAGAAGTTTAGTGTAAAGTGTACAAACCATTTATTTCTGACTCATCTGTACAGTTTTAAACATTCTTGCTTTCAAATAATTCGTCACACATTTTTAATGACTGCTTAAGAAAAAAAAAGAGACTTCTGGAAAAGAAACTATTGTCATTTCTCAGGAAAAAAGTATTTCTGGTCTTAAAATGCTATTTATGGTTACTTGACTTGTTGAATCATGCCCAGAAAGAGCTTTGTTAAAATCATATTTTAAAAAAAGTTCTCAGAAAGGTAAACTATACATGCATTTGTTATTCATTTACATTTACAATTGTAAAGATAAACATATACACATATTATACACTTTTTGTTTCAAGGTTTTAAAAAGAAGGTTTTAAAAAGAAGATATAAATAACGCTTAGAGAAAAGATGTCTAAGCTGAAATTCAAAGAGATGAAAAACATGACCACTCTTTTGAGCAACATCTGTTGATTATTAAACTCACCCAAAAGACCGACCCGCAGTACTCGTCCAGAGCTGCAGCACACATGATCCGTTGTGCTGGCTTCACTGGCTTGCAGATGATTTGAAGTCCTGAAGCCTTGTGCCCTCTGCTCCACTGCAGCCGAGCTCCACTGAAACACTGCTACTCTCTCCTCTGTCCACCCACAAAGAGGAGACAATATCAGGATATGGCTCTGAGAGACTTTGATCCAGAAGCCTCTGAAGCAACTCCCCCCCCCCTCTCAAAATAAAGAAAAAAAAACTACGAGCAATTCATGGTAACTCCCTAATGTGTTAAGATGTATTACAATAACAGCACATGTGCTGAGATGCTGCAAAATGATTAAATAGAATTGAAGAACTTGAGGTTCGATCTTCTAGGAATTCTTCATAGTAGACTGACACAGACCTCACAGAAGTGGAAAACCATAAAAAGATCAACTCCCACTCTTAATGAGCCCAGAGTAAAGCTCCTTCACACTCATTGTTGTCTTAAGTTTAACTTTCCATGCAGATAACTAAAAAGAGAGAGAGAACATGGGAGAAAAACTTGCGTAAGTCTGACAGTGCAGATTTCCATGTGTTGGGGGGGACAGCTCTCTTAAAAAGGAACTGTGTTTAGGAAGAGGGAGGGAGGGGATCATTATGCCCACTTTCCTGTTGTGCTTCCACTTCTCTGAGAGTGAAAGAGTCTGGATTGAGCCCAGCTTTTTTTCCAGCAGTGTTGTCAAATGCAATTAAATTTTCAACTAGTACAGTTTGTATAATGATGAGATGTGTTTGTTTTAGTAACAGACTGACTCGTCACTGATTGGGGGGAGTGGTCATTGCAAAACCCTTTTACCTCAATGCTTTTTTTCCCTTTCCTATACAGTGAGAGGACTGAACTTCAGCCTCAGAGGGCTCAATGAACATCTAGACGGTACTAAAAGTGAGCCATGTGAGATTAAGAATAGATTAACTTCCCTTGTTGTGCTCACAGTGTAGAGAAAAGGTTACAGGAGTAGCAACAGAGGTCCTCTCATACTGTATACATGATGGAAATCAAAGGCTGCTGTCTTTATATGCTATCACAAACATGTAAAGTTGAGAAAAATCCCATTGTTCAAATCCCATTGTTCAGGGTAAAAATAAAGTCAGCCCACCTTCTGCACCAAAACATAATTTTCCTATTATAATTACCTCTAAAGTTATCTTTCATTTCAAATTAGAAAGATAGAAAGGCAAGAAGAAAAACAAAATGTTGTTGGACCAAGAATAATAAACTCCAGTAAAAATAGGCCAAGGAGCATCATGACAACAGGATAGACACGACAGTAATAAATATTTATAGTTCACTAAATTAATATTTAGAGGGTCAAAGTTGGAAAAAAATAAAAATCATGACTTAAACTCTATATTTAAACTACAACAGCATCTTCATTTTTAATCCTGTTTTGTTGTCGTTAAACATGTACCTGAAATTGTTTATTTAAAAAATGTTTTTAGTTTATTGAATAGAGTTTACCATTTCAAATGCTTTTTTAACTAGTATCTTGAAAGACTCAGCCTCTTTGTTAGTACAGCAAAGGTGAATTTACACTGTTAGTGTAACTAACTAGTACACTAGTAACTACTTACTAGTAACTTTTCTTTTTTGAAAAAACTTGGCCAATTAAAAGGTTCAAAATCATGCAAGCTGCTACCATTAGCTTCCTAACAGTTTGTGTAATCATAGCTGATAATTTAGTAAACAAAAATATTTACAGATCCGATAAAGATTACTTTTAAACTTATTACAGGTGAGTCAGATCCATTGGGTGGGAAGCTTTTCAAAGTACAGCACAGATAATATAGTCTTCCCTGGGATTAGATTATGTTTGTAGGTGTGTTTCAGACTATCTGCCAAGGCCCTGAAATGGATGACTCCTACTGTGTCATGGGTAATCATTAAACATTTACTAATTTCAAAGGACACAAGTCATGCTGACTCAATATGCCTGCAGCTTGCAGGACTACGTCACGCCAACATACCATAAAAAATGTTCATTGTACAACATGCAACTGTGCTGCTGTTAGCAGAGTCTGTTTTGAAAGCATTTTCAAAATAAAGTGTTTTAAGAAAGGAAAATGATTTTAAAGGGACTTAATAGCTAGGAAAAATATACCTATAACTAGAAGTTTGTCATATATGCAGAAATCATCATTTTAGTTAGCTTTAACTACTAGAATAGCAGAAATTATAAATGTGGGTTAAGGTTAAACATCATGGTTCCTGGTTTGATGTGAGTTTACATTTGATGTGAGTTTACCTGCGAGTCATATTTTGAATGCTTTGTCCTGTTTTACATCAAAATGTCTGCCTACGGTGAAATCCGATCTGCAGGAAGAATTATTTTCTCCCCAGTGACTGATTTATACAATAAACTTTAAAAATGATCTTAACAAACTTAAGATTTCAATCAACCAACTAATAAATAATCTTTAAAAAACTACTGAGATGTTGTTCAAGATTTTATCTATTGTGTTCATACAACTGTTTGTTTTAAATATAAGGGAAGATTTTTTCCCCCCTTCCAGTTCATTTAAAACTAGCTCACACAACTTGATCTTTACATAAGAGCCACAGGCTGCCCTTTATTATATTAGGAAATGTCAATAATTATCCCCACATCAGCACCACTGAACTCGGCTGCAGCAGTACTGTACAACTCCTACTCCTAATTCAGACATTTTCTTACCTTTGGGTGAACGCTTGAAACTACAACGTACAGCACCATTTTCTTTCAGAATAATATGACTAATAATTATATTGACCTCTTGGAGCTCTTCTAGCTATTAAAGGTCTTTTTCGGGTGGCCAATTAATCAAATAGAAACAAATAATCATATAAAGCGGTGAGAGAAAATAAATTAAGCAACTTTGCATTGTTAATTCCAAACATTTGTTCTGTAAAACTTGTGAGAATCTGAACAGGATCAGTTAAAAAGTCAAAAGTGTTGAAAAGTCGGGACCAGAGTTTACACAGAATCGTCTTCATTTCGTCACTTTTAAAACCAGGTTGGACCGAGCTGAGAGTCAATTTCCTAATATTTCAAGTGAAATTAAGCACAAAATTCATGACAATTATACAATCTATTAACACAGATCATTAAAAATTGGACAAAGGAGTGAATACTTTGGATTGAGGGGGAATCTATGCACCATAATTGCTCTTATGGATACTATATAAAGGTTCTTAGTTTTGTTTTTTTGTCTTTGATAGTTCCTCATTTATATATACGAGTAAAATTATGTAACTGAGTGATTGTGAACATGTTGGATAGTGTGCAGGGAAAGCAAACTACTACTGACAAAAATGAGGTGATTTATAGAAAAATAGGAACTCTAGCAAGCTGATCAAGCTGTTTTGTTTCTCTTCCTCCTTGTTTCTGTCTGAATTTACACTGCGGCTCCAGAAGAAAGCTCCTCCTACAGGAAGTTCTTAAGGGTCAGATGATCCTCCTTAGGAGTAGTTTAACCTCAAAAAAATAAAAAATAAAATGATTTGTTTTTAAATATTATGCTAGTGCTGTGTACCCTTTCTAGGTTACACTCATATAAACATCTATTAATTACGACACCTCTAGTGTTTAACTTGTTATTCCTTAATCAGGTTTTTAATTAATCATGATATAAAAAAAAAAAAGAATCAAAACCAAATTCCTATACATAAAAAGACACATTAATTTAGGAGACATTCCACCAATAACATGCCTTTAGAAAACACCTGAGTCCTTTAGGGTTGAAGTCATGCTATAAAACAGACAAACCTCATTTTCTTGAGAAATAAGTTTTTTAGTTCTAAGAAGATAGACGGTGACACGTTTTCCCCTTCCATCTTGTGAAAGAAGATGGAGTTTGGTTCTGAAAGTTTTTAAACCCACATATACAAATGAGTGCAAATATATTTTGGTCGAATTCAGAGATAAGAAAACTTTTATTACTCTGAACGAATCGAGAGAAACCAAAATGGGAAAAACCTCCAAAAGTCAATCAAATACAAAGGAATTTAAAAATCTCCAAAACATCACAGTATCAGACAAGAGAACACTGAAATGAAACATCTAAATAGAAAACGGCTGATGAAATGTTTAAATGCGAGAACTTTCAGTTTTTTTCTCTTCCTGAGTAAAACTTTTTTAGATTTCTTTATATTTCTGTTTCTGTAAGTGTATCATTTTATGTCCATGGTTCTTTTTTTTTTTTTTATCTTTTTCCAGATTTCCCATTGTATGATGTAAAATGCTGTTATTCTTTTGTATAGCGTTGTGCTTTACATCTCAGAATTGCTTATGAAAGTTTTTCTCTTCAGTCATAAAACCGTCACAGATAGAGTTTAAGACAGCAGTTTTATCCCTGAGCGGCAAAAATACACACTGTTTTAATGAAAAAAAAAACCAGAAAAAAAAAAAACCTGACATGAAAAACATTATTGTATTGTATTAAAATAACTGTCCTTTTTTTATGAGGTATCACAAGGTATTCTTGGCAATTGCATTCAGACTCCGGACTTTGCTGACATCTGCCACCTTCAGGTCGTACTCCGGTGCCGAGATCGTCGCCCCCATTGTCACACTTTTGTTCCTGTGCATCAAAAGGTCAGTAGAAATAAACCCAAGAGAAGGTTTTTTTATAATTATTTTTAGCTTTTTAGAATTAATTTTTCAAGTAAAGTAGAAACACAACCGGTAAAGAATTAAAAGATTTTAAAACAGACCTAAATTTCATTGCAGAGTCTCTGGTGGAGCGTGCTGAGCAATGAAACTCCTCAGCACCTGAACCTTCTAATATTCTCTGTAGGTTCCTCTCAGTAATACCACCTCCTGCCATTTAAATATATAAAGAAAATAATGAATTAAGGAAGAAAATATGCAGAAACAATAACGAGAAATGTGGAAGTACTAACCTGGCATGACAATTATCCTCCCTTTAGCCTGAAAGAGCAGATCAAACTGTTAGAGCGCTTTAAGTGTTGATTTGAGAGAAACCAAAATGGGAAAAACCTCCAAAATCAAACAAAAACAAAGGAATTTAAAAATCTCCAAAACACCACGGTATCAGACAAGAGAACACTGAAATGAAACATCTAAATAGATAACGGCTGATGAAATGTATCCCAGGCAGACTTTCCTTTAAGTTGCAAAATATTTCATCAAACAAATTTTAGTTAGTAGACGATCTCAAAGAAAAGAAATAGCAACTTAAAACCAACACAAACTGTTTTTTTTTTTTTTAATTTATATCTATTGTTTGTTTTTTTTACAATTGTGCGAAAAAATATGTACTCTTATTTTTACTAAATAGACCAACTGTGTGTCTGTATGCATATTGAAGAAATTTTTTCAGAGAGCATCTTGCACAGGTTAGCAACTAAATATATGTTTTAATTTGTCCCTCAGTGGGCATAATGTACTAGTATAACTACATTAAAGTGATTAAAATAGAAGCACATTGTTGCTCTTGCTGATAATATCGCAACCAGATTTACCTGCACACATAACCGGTAGAAATACCTGTTATACATCAAAATAGCAGTAAGAACAACAATTAGAAAAAAACACCCCAAAATAAAAGGGGTAACCATCTTCTAAGGAAAAACTACACTATTTTAACATTGAAATACACAACAATACTAGAAAATGTATTTGTGAACATTGAGCTTTTCATATTTGTACAAAATATTTAAAGGGATCCATGCATTTATCCTTAGAAAACAGAAAGGCAGCAGTGTTGAATATACACTTTAAAAACCAGTTCATCTGAAAGAGCTAAAATTATGTAAAGAAAATGCAAAAATAGTTTGTGGTATACAAAGACAATTTTATTACCATCTATTTATCAAAATGTTTTGAAGCAGACAGGTTGGTTTGATCGGCACTGATTAACTGATAATTCATTAATAAGTCTAAGGGCCTGTGATAAAGCTCAACTGCATGTGTGTACAAAGGCAATGCCCAAGAGGGAAGATGTTTGCTTGGATCTAAGGAAAGCCACCATTGATTTAAATCAAACTCAGAAGAAGTTGTCGGCCAATTTCAGACTAGTTGAAGGGATCTTTTCACCCAAAATATAAAAAAAAAGCAAAAAAGACATGGAT